TCGAGATCTGGGGATCTATAAGACCTATGAAGTTGGGAGTTAGTTTACTTCAAAAGTTACTTTAACGATAAACGCCCGCTCTTTTGAAGTTTTTGTATAATGGAAATTTCCGATGGTTTTCGGTCACAGAATCTATACACTTTTGAATGTGTAAAAAAAATGTTAGGTGAAATTGACCTATATAATAGTAAAATGTCCGCAAACCATTGAATTGTTAATTTGATCATCGAAATAGTGACTCTTCCAACAACAAAATACATACAACTTTTACTTTATGGTAGTTTTACTAAATAATTAGTAACCAAAGGAAGAATAAAATACACGTCACAATTTTTAATAGTTGTTAAGTAGTAACATAACTATCAGAAGTGGTCATTTTTACCTATACAATTTTTCGAAGTAATTTTGCTTCAAGTTTTAATCGTCTCCTGGGACATTTCTCTAAGCTACATTTAAACGTTACATCAAAATAATTTTTTTTTATGTTCATACGTTAATATGATTGCTCTTAGGCATAAAACAATGTTGTAATTGTTTTCTAGCATCATATTAGATAGAATGCATAATGTTGCCACTTTTGTACAGCCTTCCGATTTGCATTTTCGTTGTAATCTTATAGCATCTCGTGTTTATTGTCCATTATTATAATTGCGCAATCTTGGCAGTACAAAAGGTGTCCCGCTGTTGGGGCAGTTTTCCTTTAGTTGCTCACATCCGGTCAACTGCTGGCGTTTATCATAATTGCAGTTCATTTGCATGCCGGGAAAACGCAGCTTGCTTTTCACATACATATAGTATTTTTTGCCGGCGCTGCTGGTGCTCCTCCATCTTCGCTGCTTCGCCTGTCGCCGCCTCTCATGCGGCAACAGCAACTGTCGCCGTTGCTGTCACTTGATGTCGCAACGCATTAGAATATGTTGCATGTTGCCCCCTTTGGCCCGTACCCCCTTCCCTTCCTCCCCCTTCAACCTGCAACGGGTGCAGTTGCATATGCAACATGCAGGCGCGGGCAAATTTTTATCTTATGACAGCTGCTGCTACCTCAGTTGTTGTAATACTCTCTCCAAGGGAATTTCAGCTTGGTAACCTTGGTCAACCCTAAAAATCCAGAAAAATAATGGACTGATTTTTTGGAATATAAAATAAAGATTTTTAAATTAAAAAATTTTTAATTTAAAGCAATTTATGTCAACCCTAATAAATACAAAATTTAAATGGACTGATTTCTTGGAATACAAAATGAGAAAATTAAATTACAATGCTTCGGTTTAGTAGATTTACTAAATATAAAAGCACTACTGACATTTGTTTATTAATGAAAATTAAGAATTAAATTATTTATATAATATTTATATAAATTTTAAATATTTATTTTTTGATGCATTTTCTTTAAAAATGTTTTACAAACCGAATAAAATGGGTCTGAGGCTTAACAGCATTTTATGAAAATGAATTCATATAGTTAATAATATGTTGGGTGCTATAACTTTTTAAATTATATCCAATCAGTTATTCTTAAATCAAGCAAATGTCACAGGTCCTTAAGGCCATAATTAAGATATACAGAAATATAAGAAGAATTAAAATAATAATTCTCAAATTAAGAACGTATAAACCAGGATAATTTGTTATGGTTGTTGAGTAAAGTACAAAGGAGGAGATAAAAATAAAAAAATAAAATAAAGGGAAGGGTATATTTAATTCGTTGCTGGATCCATTTGATGTTGCTAGTCGGAAACTGGTACATGTTATGCCCTACGCACATGCGGCTGCTGCAAGGAGGAAAAGGCGCCCGAAAACAAATGTCAGCTGTAAAAATCATAAATTTAATGCAAAATGCAAAAACGCTTTGCGCTTCGTTGCGCTTTTACTCCCTGACAGGTTGCCCCTTGCACCTCGCATTTGGTCCACCCTAGTCAACAGTCCACAGCACTCTGCATTTGTGCCCCCTCTAACTGAAATATGATATATGCGAACTTCTAAACGGAAAATGTTGCAATGTTGCTTCCTGAATACTCTACAAAAGGGATAATCAAGGAAAATTAGTTACTAACGAGTCCGTTCAATGGCTTACACACGATATTGGTAAAGTTAGTACATTTTCTTATATTTTATTCTAATAATATTATAAGTAAATACAAAATATATATAGATTCTGCTAGGAACCCAAACCTAATGCCTCCCCTGACGTTCTGCTAATTAATTTGCTGAGCTGAATCCATAAATTATACTTCATCGTATTGTCTAGAGATGTCAAATAGCATTAGGCTAAACTATTGTTATAATAAACACACCATAAATTTCAATCAGAAATCGAAGCGATCGTGTTGCCCACCTTCATACATATAAGTCTATAGGCAATCAAAGAAATCTCAAGAAAGAGCCAGGGAAATAACCTTAAAGATAAAGCCAATCAATGATGTCACGCCTTCTTGTCTTTTGGCCATTATTGTGGGTTGATTGTGTTGAGGGCTGAGTGGTAATACGACAGTGTCTTGACACTAAAAGCATTTTTCCGTTCAACAAAAACGTTGCTGCTTACATTTCGCCTTGAGCTTTCATTAAAGACAAACAAAAATGTATTTCACCAAATGACAAACATATCAAATTAATTGCGAATTCATGCAAATGAGAATGGAGAAGGAATAAAGAATCCGAAATGATGAAAATTAATTGCCAATATTAACGCGTTTTAACACAAAAAGTATGTTAGATATTGTATAAGCGATAACCAGCAGCAGCTTCAGGCAACAATAACAATAAAGTAGCATTCGAGTAAATGTTTATATTTTTTGTCCCCCTTTTTTCTGTGAGTTTCAAATTTGTTATTAATTAACATTCATTAATTATCATCAAAGTGACTCGGAAGAATATAGAAACTTAACGTCGCCTGCCTTTTGTGGCCTGTGTTTAATTTATAACTAATTAATATGCAGCCATTTATTTAACACAACGCATGCATTCGATTTGGCTCACAAATGTGCCCTGCGAGTGAAATTTATTGGAGTATTTAGCTATCGAATTCAATAAATATTTAATATACTCAATTTATTTAGTGTGTTTGGTTATCCGAATTCAACAATTATTTAATCTACTTCATATATATTAAAAATGTACCGATTTTTTGAACAGCTTTTATAAGTGTATACTTCGAAAATTGAAAAAAGCTTATTAAATAGAGCCTTTTCTTAAATACCTAAAAACATATAATAAAATATTCTTAGAATATATTATTTTAGTTTCCGTTTTACATTAACGACTTTTATAAAATGAATAGTATTTATAATCCCAAAGTTGCATAAAGCTAATTACAAAGAGTTTATTTTAAATATCTAAAAAAATATAATAATAATAGTATATTTTTAAAATATTAAAACGGATGATAGTATGTTATTAAAATTTATTACATTAGCTCCATTCAATTCTTTTCCAGTTTACAACACACTTTTAATTAAATAATAACTTACCTCCACTATCATCCCAAGGAAAGCTTAAATCGATCCACACTTTCATGTGATCATCGATTGAAGCTAAATGAGTTATTCAGCAGCTGCAGTGGACCAGTAATTGGTTGTGGAAACCCGTTCGTTTATAGACTGTATAATTTGATTACCCTAATGAAATGTTAAAAGTTTTGAGTGATCATCTGATCCCCGGTAGTTTTTTTTTTGCTTGTCGGCTCTACGTGACTCCATCCGGGATGCAAGATTTTTGCCGAGAATGAGAATGGCCAAAGTCGCGGCTTTTGCCCGATGTATGTTATAAATATAAATATATAATTTATATTGTGTCGGCACGTTGCTGTTGATGGAGCCACTGACGCGCGATGCCACCCAGGTACCCCCTTCGTAGCCCCCTTACTCCTTTGGATGAACCTTGGGATGGGGATCTGGATGGTAATGGTGATGTGGAGCACTGGCAGATCGCCCCGGCCCGATGTTAATGGGCGTGTCAACTAAATTATGAGTTTCGCACACACGAACGAAAGGCGGCAACTCAGGACCGACCGGCGGAGATCACATCGGGCTGGGTAAGTATATTATATGGGGAGCGGTGGAAAAATGCTTAAGTAAATTACAGTGCGTGCAAATGTGCTTGTGAACATGAAATTATTATTTAGCCCCGAACCGAGCGTGTTCCGTTCCGAACAGCTCCAATTTACAATTAGCCAATGTTCTCCCTGCCCCTGAGACCCCCCCCCCCCCCCCCTGAACTGGGCTTTTAATCAATTCAGCCCAGTACTCGCATGTCTGAAAAATAAAAAAAAAAACAAGCGAGAGGTATAGGGAAAATAATAATGAAAATTAACAACCAGAAAGCGGTTTTCATCTTAAGTGCAGTTTACGCTTGATTATTATGTTTGCGGGACGAGTTTCCGGGTGGTTAGGCCTCATGTCCCGCACAGATGCCAACATAAGTACGGCCATTGGTAGTGCTGGACCCCCCCGACTAAATGAGTTAATTTGCTGGCCATGCTAAGCCAAAAAGCTAACATGCTCGTTGGTATTTCTCGAACGAATTGCCCTGCAAAAGACGAGTGATGTATGCCATTTCGGTTGCAATCAATTTTCGGCCTCCAGTGATATGTCAAACATTTTCGGATTCAGGATTGTGTTGCCTGGTTTTGGGAAATCAAACTTCATGCATACATGGAGTAACGCAAATGCCCCAGAGTGAAGATGCGGACTGTATTTTCAATGAAACAGATGTTAGCCTTTGGGCTATTGAATATCGAAGCCATAGATGTTCTCCACAAAATGAATACCAGATTGCGTCAAGAAATGGATAGTTTAATCGAAAACGTCTTTCGAACAGGAGTTTCTATTAAAATTCATAGGCCAAGCTGTCTAATCTTGGACTTTTTTCATTAAATAATGAGCAATAAATTTCTAAGACGTGTTCTTTAAAATAAAATGCTAACGATTAAAGAAAAAAACCCTAGAGATTTATTTAGACTTTTAGTTTTACATCGCATATCTGTAATTGGAAAGAAAAAGGTAATCTTCATATCTACTCGAAACAAATATAAGCACATTTAGAGGGCGTTTAATAAGTGAGTATTTTAGATCTATTTTCAATATTTAAATGCAATTTGTTACTCATTGTTTATAAATGTATGGGACATTAACGAGTAAAGTCGCCGCATTTGAAGCACTTGCATTCGGTTGGCTCACGAAGACGAATATCCATGCTGCCCATTTCCGGAGAGTTCAGACGGGTTCCATCCGGATCATAGCAGTGGGTTAAAGTGATGACCTTTTCCTTGAGGAAGCTTTCGCGGCAGCAATAGCACTCCTAGAAAGTATAATATATTATAATCCTCTGTTAAAGACAAAGTACCACTTACTTTCAGAAACCCCGTGGGAGTTATCACCGATGGCTGCACCTGACTGTTGCACAATCCCTCGCACTTGTTCACGATGACGTCGGCATTGCAGGTCCTCTGCATCCTTCCCAGTTCGTCGAACTCCTCCTTGATCAAATGGATCTCCGACTTCAGGGTCTCGCAGTTCTCGTCGCCGGTGCCCTGGCTATATCGCAATGCCCTGAGGCCCTGGGGCATTAGGACCGCGGCCACAAAAAGGAATTCCTGGACCTGCATTCTGACCCACTCCCAACGCCCAACTGTTTGCAATCCCTCGATGCGGTGGCTCTTTTATACGGGGACTAAGCCCTGGTCTCGATTGGATTCCATGATATATGTCAATGACTGGCTGATGGAATGTTTGTGTCCTGCCCAGCGGGTGGAAATTTGGTCGATAAGGTTGCGGTAGGACCAAAGCAATTTTCACATCACTCTTCTGTTCTGTTAATAGGTGATTAAATCCAACGACTCGACCACAAGTTGTGATAAGTTGGGTGTGAAACACATTACGATTATCGATTTTTTATTAAGCCTTTTCGTAATCCCTTTTTTATATATAAAACTGTAACAAAAAATATGGAAATATTTTTTTAAGTTGCTTTATAATTATATTTTATTACTATGTTCCTGTATTAATAAAACATTTTGTTTCACACGAACAAGTAATTGCTCTATGCTATAAACAGACTCATATTTTTAGCTTTAATCTAGAGACGATCCTATTATACTTGGGGCTTCCCCGCACTGTTCCGGCCACGTAAACAAAAAATGAAATCGCAATCTGTCTGAAGTTTCCCACCTCTCGTTTTCCTTTCCTCCGGGTTTTGGCCCAGTCCTCCGCCCCGTTGGCATCGTCTTTGTCTCGCCCAATTTCGCAGTAACCACAATCTCGTTCCCTGCAAATGTATCTGTATCTGTATCCCTCGGTGGGCCTGCCTTTCTCCACCTCACTCCTCTGTGGGCTGAATGGTCGATGGCTGCGCTTTAGAATCATCGACGCAAACGCAAAAAGTCTCAATGGCGCAGTAAATTATGTTTTATTATGCAATAAAGTCAACCATAAAAACGCTGCAATAAATTAAATTAACTACTAAAAATGCTGATTTTATTTTTACCCTCCGTTTGCAAAATTGTTGTTCAGTCAGACCCGTCTCCATATGTATATACACACAAGTATTTGAATACATAAACAAGGATGTATGTTTGTGTCTATCGTTCGGGGGCAAAGTTTTGTTCTGGTTTTTTGGTTTAATGCCTGGATTTTTGCTTATTTTGAGTGAAATTTTCCCTGGGAATTGTTCTAAACTGCAGTTGGGCCCAACAATTTGTTAAAGAATTTTCGAAGATAAAATTGCATTAAGTAGAGACATTTTTAAAAAAAGAGATGACTACCTCCTATATTTTTTTTTAACTTTAAAACAATGTTTTCTAATATTTAAATCTGAATTTGAGAAATTTTTGATTAAATTCTCTTTACAGTTTGATCTATGTTCATTATAATTATGTTCTTTAATACTTATTAGGTCCACTCAATAGCAGACATTATATCGGTTACTTAGCAATGATATTAAAAAGAAATTAAAAGTTCTGTAGACTTTTCTTACAAATACCCAAGCAGCTTATTTTTCACCCCACGCTGATCTGTTAAATTCTCAAATTAGTGAGTTTTCCTCAGAGGGCCAGACATCAAAGGATAACTAAGGGTAAAAAAAGCATCCTGCAGCCATTGTGGACATGAATGAAATGCAAAGAGACACACGACCGGCAGCATTAAAAAAACAAAAGCGCAATGCTTTAAATGAATAAATATGACACATAAATACCAGTCAACAATGGTTGGACCGTGTGTCTCCGCCGAAAAAATAAAAAAACCAAAATTCAACAGATTCTCAAAGCGAAAAATAAAAAAAAATTGCAAACATCGTAACAACAAAGCCAACCGACCAAGCGACAGGGACCGACAGTTAATTCCGCGAAAGAGGAAATTACAATTCATGCCCTTTGGCGGGACTCCATGATTATCAGATCGAATTAGTGTCTGCCTGGGCCTCTCGTACTCGTCCTCCTACCCGGTTCACTCTTCCGTATATGTTTGTCCTGGGGCCACATGAGCCACACATTTTTTATTGCCGCATTCTGTGCCGTTTTGGCCCTCAACCGAACCAAACTGAACCGAACCGAAAACCATTTGAATGAACTTGGACCGGCTGCTCCTTTTGTTTTCCGTTAACAACAAATACAACAATTATGAGTGTGTGCCCTGTCTGGCCATGTCCTGTGGAACCTGTCATGACCAGAAAGTTGCCCTTATTTTTTGGTTCACCGTGCGTTCATTTCACTGTCCACAGACAAAGAAAAAACAATAATGTATGAAAAATAATAAAACAAATTCTGACAGACCTGGCTGTGAATTGTCATGAAACCGGCGGACTGGGTGTCGATTTTCTATGCTTTTTTACGCTCTGAATTCGTTAATTGAATTACCGATCTTGGGGAAACATTTTTTTCAATACGAAATAAACTTGAATATAGGTATCCCTATAAGTTTGAACCTTTAAAGAAATAAGTATAATATATTATATATTATTTAAACAATTTAATTGATTATTTTTTATATTTACTTCTTTTCTTATTAAATAAAAATTAATTCTACTTAAAGCAACAATGATCTCAAATATTCGTGTTCTTATAAATGGATCAGTATCAATTTTAAATTTAAAGAATTAAGGATATGTTAGAAATAAAGATGATTTATTTTATACAAACAATTTCATTTTATTAAATTAAAAAATATCTACTTAAAACGGCCATGATCTCAAATATTCGTATACTTATAAATTGATCAATATCAAAAATATAAAAATAACCCCTCGTAGGCATAACATTAAATTATATTTAATTTATAGTGCTTATGTCTGGGCTCCCTAATAGTTTTTTAATGTTCCCCAATCGATTGACATGCTCTTGCTTAATTGATTTAGAATTGATACTCACTGTCTGTTTCTCGTAATGGCAGCTGTAGAAACATACTGGAAAAGTAATAATCAGCAGGCACATTAATTATATTAAACTGATTTGAGCGCCTTGGGGCTGTCTGTCTGATGACTAGAGACTGGGCTTATAGCTGGCTCTTACTTGGCCAAAACGCTGTTGACTCATTATGGTAAAGACATGTGTTAATTTATGTAACTTTCCCAAAACTGCCATTGTGACGTTCATTAATCATTTTTTCGTTTCAAGATTTTCAAGTTGGCCCCATGTCTCGCGGAGCGCTGCCTACTCTTTTATGTTATTTTTAGTTAATTGTTTGCGCTGTAAAATGTTTATGCGTTTTGGCCAACAGCTCGATTCGGCTGCCTTTGCCCTCTTTGACTAATGTGTGCCGCGTGTTCACGTTTTTGTCTCAATGATTTATAGTTGTCCGCTGGACAAAGTCATTTCTGCCTTGGAAGCGGTTTCGTGTGTCTGCAAAACATATCAATCATATCGGAAATTAATTTTGATAGCCACATAAAGCTTGTGATATATAAAAAAAATGAGGGAAAAATAGATACGAAAACGGAATGTAGTATTGCAACATACAGGAGATGCCATTTTTCAGAAATAATTATTGGGAATAACTTGCTAATGGATTTTTCATAAGGTGATAAAATGCGTTATGAGTTTTACGAGAACGTTAAATAGCTATTTGTTTTTATTATTTCAAATAGTTTTTTATTATTTTAATATTTTTATATTTGAGGGATATAAGTTAGAAATTTAATGTAGGTAATAAGGTTTTTTAAGTGGCCTTGTCTATTTTATTTTAGTAGTTATATTTTGATGTCCGTCAAAAAGTAGCAAAGCGAAAGTAACCAGCTCTACCGATTTGCCCGTTAGCCAACTGTACACTGCCCTGCATAATTACGGTGCGTATGTGCCCCAACATTCAATCTCGCTGCCCCCCATCCAAAACTAAAAAACAAAACCCCTAATCAGCATTAAGGCGCGCGGAACCTATTATTAAGTTGATTACAATTTTGGATAAGCGAAGGCAGCCAAAACTGCGGTGCTATGTGTGGGTAACACCCCAGCGATCGGCGAGAAGTGAGGGTCTATACTATATGGTGGGAAGTGAAGATCATTTTGCACGATTTACGAGTATACCTATATATAAACCCAAGTGAGTACCCGGGGCTAGAGTTGCGGATAATGGTTACGGACAATGACGATGAGTGGATGGTAGCTTTTACTCTCTCGCGGTCTTAAGATATTAAGACTGCCCCACCGTCCAGCACATCCATCAATCGTGATGGATAACTGACAGTTTGGGGCGTTGCGGGTTCTCAATTTTCATGGTCAGCTCCTCGGTGAAATAAAGAAAAATTCCATTTACCCCCGTCAACCCAATTTGTTGATCATTAATCATTGATATATGGTATGGGTACATATGTACACTCAACCCATTCATTCAGCTTATTTGGCTGCCCAAAATGTAGCATTGACCCATTGGGGAATTCATTTAATTGCGCATGTGCCAAGAAAAATTGGCATAAATTAATATGGCCAACAAATTTAATTAGCCATAAATCAATGAGTTTATTAAACAGTAGCCAGGAGCCAATCATGCCATAACGTTTTTCCACCAATAAACTGCCGCAAATTGGCTAATACCAAATGGCGTTATGTGTCGACCCCAAAGTTATGCCCGTTTCCTTCTCTCTCGATCTCGCCAACGCCCACAAGTCTCGCCGCGCACATTAAAAATCAGTTAAATTCAGAAAAACACTCCACTCCCCCCCCCTCATAAACAATTTCCATGGCAAAAAGTCCGACTGCGACTCTTCGGAACCAGGGGGACCTGGACCTCTCACTGTGCCGGCTGTCGAGAGACGCAGCTGGATTCGAACTGGTTATATGCCGAGCGGACTGGACTCCGCTTCTGTGTGCGGTTGGATGTGCCACCAAAAGCCATTTGGCACATACATTTCAAACATTTATGGTTATTATAAAGCATTTAACATTATTATGGATGCCATGGGGCATCTGTTACAATCTGACGGCCGACCAGCAGTAATAGCTGCAGCACAAACACCGGCAGCGGCAGCCCATATCGCCGGCTTAAATAATCACTCTGCGGTGTAATTAGCAAAATATTTATTGATATTTCGCAGAGTGTGTACAAAAATGAGCAATGCAATTGGCCAAATGCTGCATTGGGCGATAAAACACAACTGGATTTCGGCGGGCCAATTGATCGGGGGGAAAATCAGTTTTCCGATTTTACTGGCAGTTCAAAAATTTTTAGCCAGGCGAATATTTATGAACTAATGTAAAATATTTGTGTTCTCCCGATTTCGGTTTGTTTATTTCCATAACAATATATTTACACGCAGAAAAAAGGCCAAGCCAAATGCGCTTTATTCAAGAATGTTTTGGGTTTCAAGAACAAATTATTCTTAATTTAAGAAAGTTCTTAAAGCAAGAAAGGAAAGACCAGGATGGCTTTCTTTTAACTGTAGGAACCTGAAAATATATCATCATTTTTTTAAAGAATATTTTGATTTTCAAGAATAAATTATTCTTAACTCAAGAACGCTCTTAAAGCATAAAATTTGAGGTGGCCTCTTTTCTAACTATATATGAAAATATACTATCATTTCTTTAATGTTATAACTTCTAAAATTGCAATATTTGCAAGACGAAATACTGCCGGAATAAAATTACTTAAGATTATTTTCAATTCGGCTTGTTACAAAAAGGACCATTAGTGCTAGCACATTAATTGATATGGCATTTTGCGCTCGTTCGACTGGACACAATCTCCTACCGAATCAAGTTTATTTATGTTTTCCAAAAAACGTTTGCCTAACAAAAAACTCAAAAAACGAGCAGAAACTTGACAAATAAGTTACGCTTAATTTTCTGGCAAGCGTTTAAAAAACCGAAACACGCAACAAGGCAGCCACCTAAAGCAAAAGCCATTAAAAGCGACGCGACACTTTTGATAACAAATTCAAAGTCCGAACCGAAACCAAAACCAAAATCAAAGCAAGCTCGACTTGAAAAAATCGAGCCAAACTTACTATACCGAATCAGAGTCACAGTCAGCCCATAAACATTGAATTTTACGACGCTGTGTGGTCTCGTTTGACATATTGTGGGCTTTACGATTCCAAAATTAATGACACCATACTATGGCCCAAGTCAGGTAACGGGCATTGGATTGGGGGCGCCCTCCCCTCGGATTTGACTTGGCTGGTGCCATACCGGTTTGTGAATATGTATTTTTTTTTGGTCGAAACGACAGCCTCATCAGTTAATAAGACACATACCCATTTTTATGGCATTAAACGACGACAAGTGAAACATAAAATACATATTTACTTTATTTTTATGCGCGGATGGTCCGCTTAAAAGCTTAAAACTCACTTGACAAAGCAATTTGCAATGCAAATTGATCAACGCGTTTCGTTAGTTTTTCGGTTTTCTAAATTCATTTCGCTTTGCGTTGTGGTATCGCTGTTTTTTATTGGGTTGATTTCATTTCAAATAAATCGTAATCAACTAAATTTACGATCTGAGGCAACAGCGACTTCACATTCCCTTGAAGCTTAGCTTAATTAATTTCAATTTAATTTTTTTCAAAGCAAAATTTATGATTCAATTGCATGAGGTGGCATGTAAATTTTTCAGTTCAGCTCATTAAATGTCGAAAGGCATTGATTCAGTATCGCGATTAACAAAATTAAAATACAAAACGAGTAATTTCCTTGAATATAAATAATATGGTGTTCGATTAATTGTATCAATTATTTAATGAATTTAAAAAAAAACAGAATAAATTCAGAAATCAAAGAAATTTTTAAAGAATTTGTTAATATTTTTTGTTTACTAAGTTATACTAATAATACTAAAATTGTAGAAATATTTTAAAATTAATTTCCTTTTCAATTGCTTCAATATTGGTTATTTCATAAAATATTTCATTTTTATTTTGGTGTAAAATTTGAAGTCACAGATATAACACAATGAACCTCAATTGATCGTTATTTGCAACAAAGAACAAGATATTTCAGCAAAAAATGCCATAATAAATATAAGTAATAGCTGCAGCAATTTTCGCACTATATCTTGTATATTATATAATGTAGAAAGTGCGTGCCGCACAAACGCATGGAACGTATAAAAATAATAAATTACTTCGAAGCGCGAGGGAACTGGAGGGGGATTCCCGGTCGAGTTGGGTCGAGAAGGGATTTCTGTGGAGCGTTTATTATGCGCACAATAAACGCGGCGGGCGCAGCGGCGACATAAATTAAATTTATGATGCTTATAAATATTCCACAGTCATTTGTATTACAGCAACAAACGAGGGCAACAGGATAACGCAAGGATGTGCCGAGCCTGTCTGTTAAACAAATTGTAGCCAACTTTTGGATGAGGGGAGGGCAACAAACACACACATACTCATGAGAGCTAGGGAGATATATTTGATTTATGGGTACGCGCGGATGAATAAAGGACTTCCAGCTCCGAAAATCCAATTGCCACCACTAAAAGTGAAAAGAAATCGTCCATAAAAAATCGCTATATGTGCGCATCTATATAATGCGCATGCATGAATTGATGATACAAGTTTTCAGGCACCTGAAATGCTGGCTAATTTATGGATGAGCAGCGTAAATATGATTTATCATTATCGAATATACTTTATATAGGTTTTGGATAGCCTATTGCCAATTGTAGAGTTTATATACTTTATCAATAACCATAAAGATTTGTTTAAATATTTGACATGAAATTAATTCCGAGAACTTAGTACTGTTTTATTTAACATTTTTACATTCAGATACGATACCACTCTTCGAATATTTTTAATTTTTAAATAGTTCTAAATAAGGTTTTATAAATTCATATCACAAGTTTGTTGAATTTATGTCTATAATTTTAGTTTACATCATTACATTTAACTCGCGGCAATGAGATACAAAACAGGCAGTCATGTTGATTTTACTATTAGTTAATTTCAAATGTTTCAAGTAAGACCAAATCGGATGATTGAAGTTATTTCCTATTACTAATTTAGCGTTGGCCTGTGTCACTTTACGATAAGTCCCCGCTGAAGAACCAATTAGAAATGTGTTCACGCAAGGTTCGTACTCATCTGCAAGATTTTCGATATTCAGCTCCTTCAGACACTCCATATTCCCTAGTAGGTGAACTAAAAAACAAAGAAATATATATTTTTTATGTTATATATATTTTTTAAAGAGCTAATCTAGACTCACCGTTATCGTCTATGTATCTCACTATTTTGAATTTTGTAAGGTTGGTCATACCTTTCACTACATTCAAGATTGTTATAGGAACACCCCTATGTAATGTTAACTCAATTAATTTTAGGGAGTCTTTTCGGTCGCTTAAGAAAGCCTGGATGGTTTCATATGATCCTGGATGCACATAAATATATACAGATTCCAGATTTGGGCAGTACTGCTGAATTGCCAGTGCCAAGTCGTCGTTCCAGGTCAATTCCTTCACGCTAGAACCGCAATACTTCAATAGAACCTTCCACAATTCGGTGGGCAAGCTGGAGTACAATTCAAAAAGATCTTTCAAGCTCTTGTAATTCTCTCGACTGTGATAGGAAAACGCATTTCCCAGATATTCATGAGCCTGAGCCAACTCCAGTTTTTTTTGTAGACTTAGTTCCGAAAAGACTAGATCGAGGACCTCAAATGGCAAATTGGTTAATTTTTTCAGGTTTTCCATTACAGAGATTCTATACCGAAATAGATTGTAGAAAAATAAGAACATTTTTTTGTTTAAATGTTTTTTGGTATCTGGATCTGTTTTACGTGTATTTTGAGCGCATAATAGATGATAACCTTTCTGACTTTTTATATGAGGAATACTAGATTTGTTTTATAACGAAAGCCTAAACTTAATGAATAAGAAGACGTATTTACTAAATGCACGATAGGATTTTTAAACTAAAGTAAAAAAACGTAATGTCTCAAAATTTCTAAAATTCAGGGAAAATACTAAAAAGTGTGTTCCATTTATAGTAATATTTTGTAATGATACCTTTGTATATGTCAGTGCTAACTTCGTTTGCATTTATTTGATGAAATTCGTAAATAGAAAACACTTCTCAGCATCCCTCCTCTAACCAACTTTCCAATTTAAAAACCAACCTTTCACTTTTGAAAATATTTGCCTGATTTATTTAGGTATAACAACAATAGGTATTTGGTAAGTGTTCAATGGGAGATTAACAACAATTCGTTTTTGAGGGGGCAATTTAGTAGTGACCGTGTCCGTGCTCGGAGCCGTGTTCGTGACCATGGCTATGTCCATGACCATGATCCTGTTTCAGCGAGTAGCTGTGGGAGCTGCTACCGTGACCGTGTCCATGACCATGACCATGACCATAGCCATGTCCTTCGTGTCCGTGGCCGGAATCGTGGCCGGAGTGAGAGGAGTGCTCCTCGAACTCAACGTGTCCGCCCTCGTAGCCGCTGTGTCCATGTCCGTGGTGCTCAACGTGGTGGTGATCGAAGAGCTTTTCGCGGTGGACCTCGGCTTGGAATCCATTGTGCTTATCCGCCGTATAGTGGACAGTTCGCTTGTGACCATCGGCATCGATCAACTCATAGTGTCCGGTAACCTTGTGGCCATGTCGTGACTCGCTCTGTGTCTTCACATCCCCGGTCTTGTGATCCTTGACTCCGTAGGTGAAGTCATATTCAGCATGCGAGTCATGGTGATCATCGTGACCGTGGTGCTCATGATGACCTTCGTGACCGTGGTGTTCCTCGTGATGACCACCGTGGGATGTCAGATGCACGGAGGCATGACTGGTGGCTCCTTCATGATGGCCATGATGTTCGTGGCCATGATGTTCGTGTCCATGGAAAGGAGCTGCCCGTATAGCCGCAATGGCCAACAGGGCGAAGACAACGAGAAACTAAGGAAAATCAAGGGATAACATTAGCTATCTTGCTGACAATCCTTCAATCACAACTCACCTTTTGAGCCATAGTACCGCAGCTAGTTTATGAGTTGATCTTAGCTAGACTACTGTTGTCTGATCACCAAGCTGAAGTGAACTGTACCAACTTACCTTTAACCCGGCCTTTTTATAGTTGAAGCATTTCCCATAGTTCCGACCTAATAGCTTGAACTTTCAAAAAAAGAATTGGTAAATCGGTCTTTAGTTACGCCCCAATTTGCAGTTCAAGTTCAGGCCTTACTTTCGCCCCAGAGAGGTGCAATTATATTCGACAGACAGTTCGACCCTTTTATTTTAGCTGCTGTTTCGGAAATCGATAAAAAAAAGAAATATACACAAAAATGAGGAAAGAAAAGAATGGCAGTGTAGTAATTCATTGTAAAATTTACTGTCGCAACAATTGCCAATTTAAAGTGGCATTGTTTATGCATCGCATCGCTGTCGTTGTCGGGCATTATAATCCCCCGGCCGGGACTCGGACTCGGATTTGGATTGGGATATGTGGGCATAGCCAAGAAACAAACGAGCCAAAAGATTTATATGCCTGACAAACGTCGCTGAGTCGTTGACGTCAATCAGGCCTGACAAAAAGTCATCAGAATTGCAGTTTGCAGTTTGCAGTTCTCCCTCCGCAGCCGCTTCTTCATTTTGGCCAGATCGGAAAGGCTTGTCTCTGCCGTCTCCTTCGTCCACTCTCTTCTTCACCGATTTCGATACCGATCCCTACTTTCTGGGGGCTTTCGTCCCGCCAATCGGCCTGTCAGCAGTCAATCGGCTACCGTCTGTCAATGTCGTGTCGCCTTCATCAAAGGCCACGTTCGAGTTGACAATGGGGATATTGGTTCTGTTTTGTAATCCGCAAAGGATAAGGATTTTCGAAAGTGCTCAAGAGCTACATACATATGAGGTAAAGAAGATGGACGGAACGAACATTGTTGAATGCAATTTGCATTTGATGCGTGAATTAGCTGGGAATGTGATAATTGGATGAGAATGTTCTTGAGGGAAAAGGTATAGGACATTTGATATGGGATTTAAAGGCTTACTGTTCAGTAAAATATACTGTTGGTGAACTCTTTTTTTTTTAATATTTAATAACACCGTCTTAGAAGATATTTTTCCTTTCTTATGTAAAATGTTTAGTTACCTTTATTTTTATATTATTAAATATCGAGGTATACTTACCTTTCTTTTTTCTTCTTTTTTTTCGCTCCCTGATTTTATCCCTGATTCTATCCCTTAAAGGTTATATGGATCTTAATATAAGCTAGAAATGTGGTAACTGGATAAGAATGTTTTTGAGGATAAGACATTTGGTAAACTTTGAAATATGACTGCCAAATAAGTTTTACTTATTCTTAATTTTAATATCTTAAATTTTTGTTTATTATGTTATTTTTGAAAAATCTATAGTAATTATTTTTGCAGTATTATTTTCTCTTCATTCTTTGATTTTCCCACACAATTTTTCCAAGATCCTTAAAGCTGTCCCTTAAAGGTTATATGGATCATATTATACAGCAAGGCATGCTTTAATTGATTCTGATTATGGTGACTGAGCTTTACCATCTATAAATCCAGCTTCCTTTGAGTCCGATGGAATCCCCCTCTTTTCATCAACGAAATTGCCCTTATGGCATTGCGATGGCGATGCTGCTGCTGCGAGTTGAGAGTTGCAAGTTGCAAGTTGCCAGTTGCCGTTGCTGTCGACTCATCGTTGTCAGTCAAAGGGGCAAACGAAAGGCTGCGTTGTTTGGTTCGCTGGTTTCGTTGTCAGTGTCACTGCTGGCTGCGTTTTGTGGGCACATTTCGGCTGCTTGATTACTCATGTCAATCAGGCTTCCAAACAGCGACGACATGCTGTCAATCTTTGTGTCATGGCCGCTAAAGTTGTTGGTCGGTCGGTTGGTTGGTTGGTTGGTCGGTTGCCCAGTTGCTGGAGTCGGACAACAAGTACGCTTGATTGCCAGGCCTTTTGGGCCTGGGTAAAAGGGTAAATACAAATACAACTACAACTACAAAAAAAATGAAGGAAAAAGGCGATGGGGAGACCGATGATGCCACAAAGGTGCCCAGTGGCAGTGGCAGTGACAGGGACTGTAGCCCAGTACTTGATGTTGCTGCCGTGGCTGTTCGATTGATGTGCATTGTATGTAAATTGGGCGGTCGTTTTCGCATTTGATGCCCTGTCAAGGGATAATCAACAGCAGTGGCAGGAGCAGATCAAAAACCGCAGACAACGAAGGGACAACAGCCTTAACATCGACTGCCATTCGTTGCAAGTCGCCACTCATTATGCGCTCGAATACGAAATTGTTTTCCACTGTAACGAGCTTAAGAAATACGATCAAAATGCCTCGATAATTTTTCCCTCAGCACCATCGTGACCATAAATATCCTTCGCCGGCATCCTGCCGAAAATTGAAAACGACAATGTTGAGGGCTTGTTGACAGATACTCATTTGACAGGACCCCATCAACTGTCACTGCCAAGCGAAACATAAACTGAGGCGAAACACAAACTGACTACGAATATCGAATTTGATCGCGATTGTTGGGGACTGAAAGAGGCATATTGTTTGACATGGAACGCCCTTTAGGCAATGTCCTTTTAATTGGCATTTTTGTGGTATACTTATGATTTTATAAAGAGCTATATGTAATTCAAAAAAATTTGAAATAAGGGAACTATGACATTATTAAATGATTAGTCGAGTCGAGATAGTCTATTCTTAATAATAATATTCCAAATCATGTTTTTTTACGTTACATTAAGTTTTTATAATATTAAAAATTCTCTACAAAAAATATATTTTATATATCTATTTTGTAACTGATAGAATACTCAGATATTTAATGTAAAATAAGTTTTGGGATTGACCTAAGTTTAATTTTATGGTTAACATTATGCCCGGATCCAAATGGGGTGATATACTGGATAGATCCCCCCACTCGGCTTAAAAAGAATATGTATCTTGTATTTTATTTCAATTTGGTTATAACTACTCAACAAATACACAACCAAATTCAGGATCCGCCACTGGCTAACATAGAGTTAAAATTAGTTCCTCCCAAAAAACATGTTTATTTATTATAGGAGTGTCATAAGTCAACGCAGAATCTTTAAGCACTTTATATACCTCTTTTTCCAGAGCTTTCTTGTACTACCAATATCCGACGTTGACAATAAATTATGACCAGGCGAAGAGGAGGCAAAAAATGCGTAAGACAATTCACAGCAATTGCAATTGAACAAGAAACTGGTTGGCAGGCCATAAAGTTAGCTGTAATCGGTAATTGCGATAAATAAAGTAAGTGGCCGGGTCCGAGGTGTTGGGACATCCAGGGGAGCCCATCCACTTACCCCGACATGCCCCCTATAGCACCGATTGCTCTGGTGTCCCGAGGAGTGTTGACAATTCTCGTCAATTACGTTGTAATGCGTTTGGTCCGTCGTCGCAACGTTGGGCTGCCTGGACGTTCCAGTTGGGCCACTTGATGCATTGCTTGACACATTATGATGCTTGATTTGTTGTCATGGCAATTTTGCCACCATCCCGACCAGGCCTCAAATGGCATCTACCCGATCTTCACCCCTCTACGTGTCAATCTCCATGGGCTGCGACGCTGTGTAATGTGAATTTTTCACTATGGACAAATGAGTTTGTCGCGGCCTTTTTGCGTTATAATTACAAACGCTTCGTTTCTTTTTTTTTAGCTTCTTTTAATGCTGTCTGTGAACAAAAATAGTTAGCAACGCAACAACATTGCTGAGCTTACCAGTTATTAATGGTTAAGTCTGCACATGTTGGTATTTATCAGGTTGTTTATTTATCCTCTTCTTCTGGCAATTTGTGATCGCTTTCT